AAATTAGCTGGGCGTGGTGGTGTTCATCTGTAGTCCTAGCTACTCCTGGGCTCAGGATCACTTGAGCCCAGAGAGATTAAGGCTGCAGTGAGCTGTGATTGTGCCAGTGGACTCCAGCCTGGGTGACCCTGGAAACCTTTGAGATGTCTCAAAAAGAAAATGAAATTGGAATTTAGGAGATTTGGTTTGAAAATCTTTTGACAAATAAGTAGTAGAAATTTTTATCTGCAGCTAGAGTTTTTTTGGTGGTATGCCCCATTACTCTCCCCTTCTCTCCCTCTCTCTTTTTTACTAATGTGCTCCTTATCTCTGTCTGAGACCTTATCAAAATGGATTTACCACCCATATTTCTACCAGTTTTCTGATCAGTATCATTTAGGTAATCTCTAAGAAGACTGAGGCTTTCTCTACAGCTCTCCTTTTTCTGATCCCTTACTAGAATAGACTTTTATGCCTGTTTATGGCAACATAGGCTTTTTCTGCATGTACTTCCAAATTCTATCAGCTCTGTCCATTAACCAGTTCCAAAGCTGCTTCCACATTTTTAGTTATTTGTTACAGCAGCACCCCACTTCTTAGTACCAATTTCTGCCTTGGCCGTTTGGCAGAAAGAGAGAAAGAGTGGGGACTCCCATCCCCACTCTTTCTCTCTCTTTTAAAATTTAATTAATTTATTTATTTTTATTTTTTGAGATAGAGCCTTGCTTTGTCACCCAGACTGGAGTGCAGTGGTGCGATTTTGGCTCACTGCATCCTCCACCTCCCAGGTTCAAGTGATTTTCCTGCCTCAGCCTCCTGAATAGCTGGGATTACAGGTGTGTGCCATCACAGTTGGCTAATTTTTGTATTTATAGTAGAGGCGGGGTTTCATCATCTTGGCCAGTCTGGTCTTGAACTCCTGACCTCAGGTGATCCACCCGCCTTGGCGTCCCAAAGTGCTGGGATTACAGGCATAAGCCACCATGCCCAGCTTCTCTCTCTTTTTTTTTTTCTTAAGTCAAGGTGTCTCTCCGTCACCCAGGTTGGTGTGCAGTGGCACCGTCATAGCTCACTGCAGCCTTGACTTCCTGGGCTGAAGCAGTCCTTCCACCTTAGACTCCTGAATAGCTAAGAGTACAGGTGTGTGCCATGATGCCTGGCTAATTTTTTGACTTCTCTCTAGAGATAAGTTCTCATTAGTCCAGGTGCGGTGGCTCATGCCTGTAATCCCAACACTTTGGGAGGCCGAGACGGGTGGATCACGAGGTAAGGAGATTGAGACCATCCTGGCTAACATGGTGAAACCCCGTCTCCACTAAAAATACAAAAAATTAACCAGGTGTGGTGGCGGGCGCCTGTAGTCCCAGCTACTCCGGAGGCTGAGGCAGGAGAATGGTGTGAACCCGGGAGGTGGAGCTTGCAGTGAGCCAAGATCGCGCCACTGCACTCCAGCCTGGGCAACAGAGCGAGACTCCGCCTCAAAAACAAAAAGAAAAAAAAGAGAGAGAGGTAAGCTCTCATTACATTTCCCAGAGGGGTCACAAACTCCTGGCCTCAAGCAATCCTCTTGCCTCCCAAAGTGCTGGGACTACAGGTGTGAGCCACCATGCCTGGTTTCCCTCTGTCTTTTGAATGGAGATATGTTTACTTTTAGAAGTAGTATGTACTTACCACAAAAAATGTTAAATGATATGGAACTGTATGGGCTAGAGATTGAAAAGCTTCCATGTCTCCACCCCTAAGAGTAATTGACACCCCTTTTGCATAGTCAGACTTTGTACATACATACTGTCCCTACTTTTTATTTATTCTTGCTTGTTTGTTTCATTTCCTTCAGGTCTCCGGGAAACCTAGAGAAAAACCGTTATGGGGATGTACCCTGCCTGGACCAAACTAGAGTGAAGCTAACAAAGCGAAGTGGCCATACTCAGGTAGACAGATAAATGTAATCTTTTTACGTGCACTGGGGGAAACTGAGCTTCTTCCAGAGTTAAGCTTACTAATACTTTAGTAGAATGAAAGTAGACTCCGAGGCCAGAGAGATTAGGTTTGAGTTTATATTTTGCTACATACTAGTCTGTGACCATAGGCAAGTCCTTGAATGCCCATCTCACAGTATTGAGTGGAAATTAAATGAAATTCTTTATATGAATGCTGATAGTGCAAGGTCTGATATATTGTAGGTGCTTCATAGGTGTTAAATTATTTATCCTTTACTCCTTAGTTGTTTTTTTTTTGTTGTTGTTGTTGTTTTTTTTTGAGACAGAGTCTCGCTCTGCCGCCCAGGCTGGAGTGCAGTGGCCGGATCTCAGCTCACTGCATGCTCCGCCTCCCGGGTTCACGCCATTCTCCTGCCTCAGCCTCCCGAGTAGCTGGGACTACAGGCGCCCGCCACCTCGCCCGGCTAGTTTTTTGTATTTTTTAGTAGAGACGGGGTTTCACCGGGTTAGCCAGGATGGTCTCGATCTCCTGACCTTGTGATCCGCCCGTCTCGGCCTCCCAAAGTGCTGGGATTACAAGCTTGAGCCACCGCGCCCGGCCTAACTCCTTAGTTGTAAAGTCATGGTCATATAGTCCAATTCCTTTGGTGAGTATATATGCATCAATACAAAGCAACCTTGATTTTAAGTGACCTCTGATTTCTCCATCTGTATCTGAGGAAACTGTGGACAACTTATGTATACATAAATGTCTAGGGATAGAGATGAAATGGTCAAATGACTATTTATTTAATATATTTGATTATATCTACATGTTAAAAACCTCATATGTAATCTATTACGACATATTTAACAAACATTTTATTCAAACACTTTACATACACCTTTAACTAAAGTTAAAGGTGTCTTTAGTGTCTTTGTCACATTTGAGCCACTTTTTTTTCTCCCTCAAGACAGAGTCTTGCTTTATTGCCCAGGCTAGAGTACAGTGATCACAGCTCACTGCAACCTTGACCTCCTGGGCTCAAGTGATTCTTGTACCTCAGCCTCCCAAGTAGCTGAGACCACAGGCATGTGCCACATACCTGGCTAATTTTAAAATATTTTTGTAGAGACAAGTTCTCACTATGTTGCCCAGTCTGGTCTTGAACTCTTGTGCTCAAACAATCCTCTTGCATCAGCCTCCCTAAGTGCTGGAATTACAGGCCACTTTTTGAGTCAGTCTAACAAGGTTTTCCAGAGTACAGTGTCTTTATTTATTTTTAAGTGTGTGGCATTGTGACTGAAATTTTATCCTAAAACAGGAAAATCTGTTAGGGTAACATTAGGACAAGTTGGTTTTTTAATTCATCCTGCGTCTTATGCATCCCCTAAATGTGATTCATTCACTTATTCCTTTGTAAAATCCTTAAAAAAAAAATAGAGAGACAGGGTCTTACTCTGTTACCCAGACTGGAGTGCAGTGACTTGATCATAGCTCACTGCACCCTTGAACTTCCGGGCTCAAGCGATCCTCCCACCTCTGCCTCCTAAGTAGCTGAGACTACAGGCACATGCCATTACACATGCCTGATTTTTTTTTTTAAATTTTTGTAGAGCTAGGGTCTCACTCTGTTGCCCAGGTTCCTCCTGGGCTCAAGCAATCCTCTCACCTTGGCCTCCCAAAGTGCTGGGATTACAGGCATGAGCCAGTGTGCCTGGCCATAAATTCCTTTTTAATATAACTTGTTTATAGCAACATCCAACCTTAGAATTTTGAGATGAATGACTAAATTATTATCTTCCTTTTTTTCCCTTCTGATATACCAATTTTATTAGGTGATGTCTCTAAAAAAACCAATTTTGTTAGGTGATCTCATAAAAAAAAAAAAAAAGCAGCATTGACTGAGGTGTTGTTCAAAGTAAAGTTATTTTATTTTTATTTATTTATTTTTTTTGAGACAGAGTTTCGCCCTTGTTGCCCAGGCTGGAGTGCAATGGCGTGATCTCAGCTCACTGCAACCTCCACCTCCCGGGTTCAAGCGATTCTCCTGTCTCAACCTCCTGAGTAGCTGGGATTACAGGTGCATGCCACCACACCCAGCTAATTTTTGTATTTTTAGTAGATACGGGTTTCATCATTTGGTCTCGAACGCCTGACCTGAGGTGATCTGCCTGCCTTGACTTCCCAAAGTACTGGGATTACAGGCATGAGCCACTGCTCCAGCAAAGTAAAGTAATTTAAATAGTACCTCTTTAACATGATACACACTGTAAGGACTTGTTATATACCTTCTCTTTCTGGGGAATAATTTTTGGAAAAATTATTGCCTTGTATTTGGGCATATATGATATGTGGGTTGGGACCCCAGGATCATGGTTTCCAACTCTCTTGTCCCTGTTGTTTCAAGCACATAAACTGAATTCACAGCCTTATCCAGGACCCTTGGAGAAGATTTTCCTGCAGGAGCATTTGAGCTAAGAGACTGGCTGGCTGGAGGGTAAATTCATAAGTACTGCTGAGATCATCATCATATATGCCCTGAAGGAGTAGAGTACAGCGGTTGAGTTGGGGCTTTGGAGTCAGAGATATCTGTATTTATCCATTTTGTTGATTTCCCTGTCTCCAGTACCTAGAACAGTGCCTGATACGTATTAGACACTCAGGACATATTTGTGAATCAGTGAATCTTAGTGTACCGGGAGACTCTTCTAGTCATCCTGTGGTTAATATGAAGATCATTGTCTGATTTGTAGTCCCTCTCCTTACTGAAACATTAGTGGAGGCTTTATTTTTATAGCAAATGGAGTATTTAGGCTTTTGTTTGTTTTATTTTGATTTTAGTGTTTTTTTGACATTATTCACTTTGGGGGGTTAGGAAAGCAAAAAAAAAAAATTATTTACTTAGCTTTGGGGACTTAACACTGTCATGAAATTTCCACCTATGGGGCTATTTTTCCATTGTTTCCTGATATTTAGTTGTTTTTAAATTTTAATTGATAAAATTTTATATATTTATGGTATACAGTATAATATTTTAAAATATTGTGCATTGCAGAGAGGCTAAGTCAAGCTAGTTAACATATGCATTACTTCATATATTTACCTTGTTTTGTGGTGAAAACACTTAAAATCTGCTGTCCGCAATTTTCAAGTATACAATACCTTGTTAATTGGAGGATTCAGGCTTTTTAGTGACTTGTTCACTTGATTTGCTTCTGGAATTTTAAAGCTGTTAGTCCCAGTTTCTGTTGAACACGGCTACCTTAGTCTGTTTGGGCTGCTGCAAGAAAAATACCACAGGCAGGATGGCTTATAAACAACAGAAATTTATTTCGCACTATTGTAGAGTCTGGGAAGTCCTAGATCGATGTGCTGGCAGATTTGGGGTCTGGTGAGGGCCCCTTTCTTGGTTCATAGACCACCGTCTACTCATTGCATCCTCACATGGCAGAAGGGAAAGGGGTGAGGGAGCACTTCAGAACTCTTCTGTTTTACAAGGGTACTAATCCCATTTGTGAGAGCTCTGTCCTCATGGTCCTCATCACTCAATCACCTGTCTCAAGGCCCCATCTCCTAATACCATTACATTGAGGGTTTGGGGTTGGGATGTAAACATTTAAAGTTATGGGGGACACAAATGTTCAGTCTATAGCAATGGCCCATAACATAGTGTGCCGGGTTTGTTCTTCCTGCTATTTCAATTTGCCCCCAAGTATATACTTTGTCTCTGGGTCATTTTCAGTTTTGAGACGGAGTCTCGCTCTGTCGCCCTGGCTGGAGTGCAGTGGCGCGATCTCAGCTCACTGCAAGCTCCGCCTCCTGGGTTCACACCATCCTCCTGCCTCAGCCTCCTGAGTAGCTGGAACTACAGGCGCCCACCACCACGCCCGGCTAATTTTTTTGTTTTGTTTTGTTTTGTATTTTTAGTAGAGACGGGGTTTCACTGTGTTAGCCAGTATGGTCCCGATCTTCTGACCTCATGATCCGCCCATCTCGGCCTCCCAAAGTGTTGGGATTACAGGCGTGAGCCACTGTGCCCAGCCTTCAGTTTTAATATCCAATGATTCTTCCAAAGTTGCTGAAATTAAAAATTTTAATTCCCTGGGAATTAAAAATCAGCAGTCTCAGAGACCAATGCTAAAGCTGATAGTTCTTAGTTATAAAGCAATAATGTAAAGAAGTGACAATTCTTTTCGAAGCATGAAGTTAGTTCCTCCTTATGTTCTTACTAATGTTGACTGGCATATACCAGGTAAATCTTTTGTACTTTTCCATACCTTCTCCCTTGGTCCTCAAGAGGTTATACCATTTGTATGTGCCAGGTTGAGTAGAGGATAGGCTTAGGCTAACTGCACCCTGGATTGAGAAGCCTGTTTGGAAGTGAGTGAGGCTTTTAGCATGCTGAGTCTGCTGCAAGTGGTCTGTTAGCTCAGTGAAGTTGTCTGAGTTAGGGTAGGACAGTAATCGTATGAGGCCAATACTAGCTGCTATGGGAGGGAAAACTGTGAGTTTATCACTCCACTATTTAGTCAAAGAAATAGTTTCTAAGGAGGAAAGTCTTGACTAAATAAGTAGTAGAGTGATAAACTGGTAGACTGACTGGCTAAGGAACACAAATCCAAATAACACGGGTTTGACCATGAGGTAGAGATATCTTAGGAGGTTAGCTATGGAATACTGACAGTTCAGACTGCCCTCCCAGTGATAGGACCCACAGGAGAAAGAGTGATAGGTTGAGGAAAGTCAGTCTGACCTCTCTGTTGTGCAGTGGGTTATGAGTTTTCCCTAGTTTGCTATTGAAACTTTTCTTTTGTCCTCTGTAACCCTTCACACCTTCCCTTATCCATTCCACTGCCTCCATCCATTCAACTCTCAACTAGTTATACTATAACATGAAACTGCAGCTGATCGATGTTTCTCTTTTATCAGCCTGGATCAAAGGATCTTTTGAGTAGGTATTAATAAAAAATGATGTTGAAGTAATTAAGACTGAGGACATTAAAAGGTGGGAGAATACCCTGGAAGAGAGGGAGTCCGGAGCTATTCATTGAGATGCCTTTGAATTTGACTGGAAGTTGCTTTGCATTAATTCAGGTAGTAATGGAGTTCAGGTGTATGGCCTGCCCTGTTAATGGTCCTAAGTATGAGGTGTAGCTTTATTTCTTCTCCATTCACATTTTGCCTTTTGTGTATGGCAGGACGGACCAGATATTCCTACTTGCTTGCCTTGCTCATTTGGTCCTGTGCTACAGTGTTGCAAGTCCTGATGGACCCTTTTCTTGTAGATAACAGTTTCTGTTGAGTTATAGTTCACTCTGGCATACTGCCACTGTTACTACTTGAGATGTCACTGGGGCAGTTACTACTGTTAATACTTGAGACTGTCATTAGGAGACTGAATGAAGGGGAACAAACATAGAAATGAAAACTTAAGACAAAAATAACTACTCTAAAGGAAGGGTAACATGGGGAAGAAGAAGACATCTCCCTACTTCTACTGAGCAAAGGCAGCCCTGAGCTTCTACAGCCCTTTGTATTTATTGGGTAGCAAGAGCAGGGAGGAGGAGGTAACTATTGGTCAGCTGCTTAATTGATCACAGGTTCATATTATTGTTGACAGGCTTCAGATGTGCCTAATCACAAGCAACACTTGTGCCTTGGTCGTGACTGCCCTCGGCATTCCTTCTTGGTGGCAGACGCAGTTTGTCAGTTTGCTAACATCCTGCTTTCATGAGAAGTTTGCTTTTTGCTCATATAGCCTCCAGTGGTATACTGAGTTGATCATGACCCTCATTCTTTCGGCCTCCAACAGTTCACATACCATACAATTTACCTATTTAAAGTATGTAAGTCGCCAGGCGCAGTGGCTCACGCCTGTAATCCCAGCACTTTGGGAGGCCGAGGCAGGCAGATCACGAGGTCAGGAGATCAAGACCACGGTGAAACCCCGTCTCTACTAAAAATACAAAAAATTAGCTAGGCATGGTAGTGGGCACCTGTAGTCTCAGCTACTCGAGTGGCTGAGGCAGGAGAATGGCATAAACCCGGGAGGCGGAGCTTGCAATGAGCCGAGATTGCGCCACTGCACTACAGCCTGGGCGACAGAGTGAGACTCCATCTCAAAAAAATAATAATAATAAAAATAAAGTATATAAGTCAATGGCTGTTAATATATTCACAGAGTTGTGCAACCATCACCACAATCAACTTTAGAACATGTTTTTCATTTCCCAAAGAAACCTCACACCGTTGGCAGTTACTACCTATTTCCCTCTAACCCACCCTAATTTATTTCCTATCTCCATAGATTTGCCTGTTCTAGGGATCTCATACAAAGAGAATCCTAGACTATGTAACTTCTTGTGTCTGGCTTCTATTACTTAGCGTAATGTTTTCTAGGTCCATCCATGTCATAGCATGTATTATCACATCACTCCTTTTTACTGCCAAATAATATTCCATTGTATGGATATACCACCTTTATTCATTTATCAGTTGAAGGACATTTGAGTTGTTTCCATTTTTGGCTATTATGAATAATGCTGCTATGGATATTTATGTATAAGGTTTTGTATGGATGTATGTTATTATTTTGCTAAGAAGTGGAATTGCTGGGTCATATGGTAACTTTTTAACCTTTTGAGGAACAACCAGGCTGTTTTCTAAAGTAACTGCAGCATTTTACATTATCACTAGCAATGTATAAGCACGGTATACATGTGTATGAGGGTTTCAGTTTTTCCACATCCTTGCCAGCAATATTATCTATAATTGATATCTGTAGTCATCCTAGCGGGTGATTAGTATCGTGGTATGGATTTGCATTTCCCTGATGGCTAATGATGAAAGATTTTTTTTTTTTTTTTTTTTTGAGACGGAGTCTTGCTCTGTCACCCAGGCTGGAGTGCAGTGGCACCATCTTGGCTCACTGCAAGCTCTGCCTCCTGGGTTCATGCCATTCTCCTGCCTCAGCCTCCTGAGTAGCTGGGACTACAGGTGCCTGCCACCATGCCCAGCTATTTTTTTTTTTTTTTTTTTTTTTGTATTTTTAGTAGAGATGGGGTTTCACTGTGTTAGCCAGGATGGTCTCGATCTCCTGACCTCGTGATCCATCCTCCTCGGCCTCCCAAACTGCTGGGATTACAGGCGTGAGCCACCATGCCTGGCATAAGTTTTTAATTTTAATATAGTTTATCTCTTTTCTATTGTCACTTATGCCTTTGGTGTCATATCTGTCATATCTGTGAAGACTTTGCCTAAACCAAGGTCACAAAGATTTACTCTTACCTTACATTTTATTCTGAGAGTTTTAATAGTTTTAATCCCTTACATTTGGTCTTTGATCCATTTTGCAGTTTTTGTGTATGGTGTGAGGAAGGAGTCAGCTTGATTTCTCTGCATGTAGATATCTACTTGTCCCAGCACCATTTATTGAACTGAGGGTTTGAGCTGACCATTTCACTGCTCATTTTCTGCTCAACAAGAAGAGAATATTCACACCTTGGGTTTTACTTACTGAGTACATCATTTTATGACCCAAATGGTATATTCTGTGTAGCTATAGTGATGTCTCCTTTTTTATCATTAGACAGATTACATCAATGCCAGCTTCATGGATGGCTACAAGCAGAAGAATGCTTACATTGGCACACAAGGTAAGCTGGTCCGTCCCTCCCATGTTGATTTTGTGCCATCTACTTATGATTCCTTGTGCCAAATGGTAGCATAATTTTTAAACGAATGGTAACTTGAGTGGAGGTTTTGGCCACTAGATCCTGGCCTTTTATAAAGATTGGTGGTGGTTGAGAAAAGCAGATAAGAAGTCTGGGGTTTCTGTACCAGGTGTGCCTGGAAACTCACCGCATGGAGATAAACTGGAGATTTAAACACATAACACTACGGCCTGCAAGTTTTGGGCTATTTCTTAATATTGGCAAGGGTGTAGGGTATCAGAATTCATCAGCCAGTGAGCTTTTCATGCTCTTCCTCTCTAGTAAGAGGCCAAGAATAGCGGACACCCCAGAGATTGAGTCCAATCTAGGAATGAGTATTGCTGTCCTAATAGGCCTAGGCTGGTTCCTATACCATCACAGAGCACTCCAATAAATGTTCTGACATAGATAGTATGTGCTAGTAAGTCTGACAGTGAAAACTGAACTCTAGGAGGATTTCTCATTTTTTTTCTCTCTCTTTTGAGACGGAGTCTTGCTCTTTCACCCAGGCTAGAGTGCAGTGGCACCACCTCAGCTCACTGCAACCTCCACCTCCCGGGTTCAAGTG